CACAAGCAGGTTAATCAGCAGGTGTTTTCACAGATATCTCACTGCAGTTCAACAAGCATGGTGGTTTTTTTTTTCCAATTTAAAAAAAAAATCCCACTGCTTGCATGTACAGGTAATAAGAATTTTTCAGGTCTTTCATGTCTTCATGCCAACAACGAGCATAGAGACTTGGGGACTCCCTAAGGTTTGCCAAATCCCCCTAACCCTTTTCTCCTCCCCAAAACAAAGCCTCCCCAGTTGACCCAGTAACCTGGCAGGCAGGGGGTGATAGCATACCCTGTCTTTGGACTTTTAGGGCCCCGTGTGAGTGCACAGGGCCAGTATTTGTGAACAGAGCAAAGTCACTTTCGTCAGTGGAATCAGCTCTTGGAGTGATCAGAAAGGCCCCGGATAGACAGAGCGGATTGAGCTATTAAAATGTACTAGCCTAACGAGCAGAGGTAGGGAGAGTCTGACCCTGTTAATCTGGCTAGACGCAGGCAACTTTCTTTTCAGGTGCTTCAAAGAAAGGTCCTCCTACTTTCTTTACCAAAGGGTTTTTTTCTCTCTCAAAGACTATCCACCAGGTGTCTGTTTTGACTTGCCTAATGAAGGATACTGAACACAACAAAGTATCATTGAGGAAATGAATCACACCTTTACCCTAGGCTGTGAGGTGAGCTGGTTTAACAGCGATCACATTATCATTCTGGCACAACAATAATGGCACCTCCATCATTCTCAACCTTTGGCGAAAAACAGACTTTCTTATGAACCTATGGATAATTCGATATGAAATAATTTAACAAGATGACAAAAAGAAACCTTCATAAATGTGCTCAACAGAAAAAAAAATATAATTCTTAGTTCCTGAAACATTGCAGAAAATATGGAAAACATCTTACCCCTTGGCTTCCCTTGAAGCAAATTACTGGCTGGTTTGACAGTGAAGCCTGTAAAGAAGGGAAGAAAACATCCAATTTAAATTGTAAATCATGTTCATCTCAAATCTACAAAGCTGATCAAATATTATAGGTAAAAATATGTAGCCATTCTGCATGCCTCAATGTTTGTTGCTATAACCACCGTTCCACAGTAAGTGTAAAGGTTAAGAGTTTCTGGTTAAGAGTTGTTCTCTAATCTGAGGAGAAGTGAGTGTAATTAACTATTCTACTGCCATCAGAAGATTTTCTTCACGTCACATTTGTTTCTGATTTTTGTACTTTTGAATATTTTTTCTTTTGTTTTTAAACACACAATTCCAGTGGTCATTAGGTATAAAATAATAATGTGGTTAAATATACCTTTACAACCAAATGACAAAGCAAGTTTCCCAGTTTTATCCCAGCCACCAGATGAATGTAACAACTCATGTTTAATCTGTTCTGACAAATTTCCACTATGACTTGTCTGGGCCAGGTCAACTCCTCTTTTATGATATGGTTTTAATAAGATTGTAATTAAGAAGGGTGAAAGGAATGCACTTCTGTATTCTTGAAAACTGAATCTGAACTAGAGATGGACAGTGATCATATTATTTGTTGTAAGTAACAGTGTCTGTAAACCACTAAAACTGACAACATGGAGCAGACAAATATGTTCACTGTTTGAACATTTTGTTTTGCTTTTCTTTGTATCCTGTTTTTATTTGAGTCCTGCTTTTTACAAACTTCTCTGTATTTAGATAAAATAACATTAAATACGATTGAACGGTAGCTGTTATGATGAAAGTACATTTTATAAAAACAAGTTTAATAAAAGTCTAAATAGTATCACGTTTTTAAAACGGTGAATTCATGTGAGGGTCCAACTGTATGCAGTGATGAATTTGTACCAAATTGTCATTTTTTTTCTTTTCTTTTTGTCCATATTGCCCATCCCTAATCTGAACAAAGAAAAATCTTCAGAGTGAAGATTACATTATGTATAATGTTAATCAAACTTTTTAGCGCACCATAATATTTGATATTAACTTACTTGTATTGGCTGTATGTAGTAGGTATCAACCATTAATAACTTTAATAAAGTATCAACAGCTACATTATTCTTATAAATGTGTGATTCATGTGTTAGTTCTTGTTTGTCAAACTTTGCAAAAACTTGTGAAGTTTGTTGTAGTCTTACGCCAATAGACATTCAGCTTCTATTTACTTTATAAAACAAGCCTTGGTGGCAGCAAAAAGCTGCAATGTAAATTTAGCACTTATTACAAGCTGCCTTAAAGTTTATGAGAAATTGATAGAAAATAATTTACAAACACAAAACTAATGTGAAACAATTTTATGTGACTAAGTATAGCAGGAAACATGCAGGCGATAATAAAAAGTTCAATCACAATAGAAAAAAACAAACAAAAATAAAACAAGTGGTTTCATTTGTATAAAAATATATGAAGATGGCAGCTTTGGGTTTGAAAAGGTGCTGGTCGTTTCACCTCTTTATCATTTTTTTCCTGTGGCTATTCTCAACTTGAGTATCAGAAGGGAGTCATCCTTTACAGGACTGATTATACTGATCCTGTGCCAAATTGAACTTACCAGGGAGAGTTTACAGCAGCTTACACAAATGAGGATTTAAAGTCATTTTTAACAATCTATTTATAATATTCTTTGAATATTAACTGGAGTCACTGGTACGTGAATCAAGTAAATAAAATCGGAGGTTGCTCAATTATTTTGATGTTATTGGGTCTTTGTGTCATTTCTCATAAGAGCCATCTACACAGGAATTAAAAGTGGTGTAAAGTCTTCAGAAAATAATGTAATTACATTTATAATGCATTATTTGATACATGAGTACAAATGTAAAGATGCAAACTGGCCCAAAGGCACGGTAGGAATAATCAAACTATTTCCTTATGACCTGATAGATTGATCAACATTCGAATCAACTATGCTGATAAATAATTTTATTTTTTCATTGCAATGTTGTTGTTGTTGTTGTTTTTTTTTTCCTTATAGGCTATCTCCGTTTAACTTTGTTACTCTCAAATGCTGCATTTTAGTGTTTTATTTATATTTATTTTATCAGACTGGTTTTCCGTGACGTTCCATACAAAAAAAACAAAACATCCATTTCTTTGAGGTTTCATTCGCCTGTTTCTTTTCACCCTTGATTGTAAGCACCAGTGAAGCAGCAGCAGCTGTCAGGTTCGGGTTTCTGCAGGACAGAAACCTTCCACCCTCACAGGGGTTGTCCTCAACCGGTATTTTCTGGGGTGGTCTATGGCTTGGAAAACTTGCTGTCCCCTCCCCTCTCTGTTTGCCTGCTGTGGCTTGGAGGAAGCTGTCAGGCTGTGGGAGAGCTCCGGAGTTTCCTCCGCTTCACGGACCAATGAGCTCCGGAGATGGGCGGGCATCAACAATACACAACAACTTTCCGAGCCAGTGCCACTGAACCCAGCTGTTTACTATCCAGCTCAACCACCAAGGTCGGGGTCCAGCTTTAGAAGCTTTATGCGACTCGGGAATGTGGCACACACAAAAACAGACTCATTTGTTTTGACAGCGGAAAAAAAAAAACCTAAACTAAATGAGCCTCCTCCTGCAGTCACAACTGTAGCTCTGTCTTATGAAACACTGCTGTGGGGAGAGAGCATTTAGGATAGACTAAATGATCTCTGACTAATCTAATGGTGCATAAAGGCAATAAAACAGCGTTCCGAATCTGAAAAGGCAAGTCATTTTCTCGATCGAATATTCAATGTATTGCAATGAGCGAAGCCAAGCAGTTTGCCTTAAAAAAATAAAAATAAAATAAACAAATGAAAACATATGCGTTCATCCTTCTACGTAAATGCATTTTAAGATTCTATAAAATGAATCAATTCTTTGCCAAGTGTTTTACGTGATTGTCATACATTTTCCAATTTGTCACAAGATTGGATTCATTTCCCTGGGATATGGAGGACAACTTGTCCACATGAAAACCTTACATTCCGATGAAATAGCTGCTATGTTCGCATTTCCACAGACCCAACAATTACCATATGTAGCCTTTTTATTTTCACCTACTGCGAATGTCCGCTGAAAGTTGTCAGCGAACTTCCGGCGAACATTCGCCCGAAAGTTGAATGGTTTGACGGTGTTTCATTTGGTCGTCCGGAAAACGTTCAGCGAACGTTCACGACGACGTTCAGCAGACGTTGTCAGAACGTTCAACGCTCGCTGCGAGGTGGCCTACATAAACCCGAGAAAAATATATAGGCCTATATCTGCTTTTTATAGGCAGATGAAAAAAGAAAAGTTTGTTTTTAGGAAGACTGTAAAAAAAAAAGAAAAGAAAGAGAGAGAACACTGCAGTTTATATTATTTTTGCTTAAGTCAGTTCGAATTATGGAATATGGGAGAGTAAATTAAAAATATTCAAAATTGCATGTTTAGATCCTAATAAATTCAGCTCTGCCTTTTCTCTGAGTGGGTGAGAAGACGTTTAAATCAGCCTTATTTATCATCCACCATCCAATTTTGGACTGAATTTCAGAGAAGCCATGTTCAAAACAAAGAGCTATTTGAACTTTTATGGGTTTTTTAGAAAAACATATTATTTGGGCTCAGTGCGAAAAAATAAACCAAGCGATGTTTTCCAAAGCGGTTCCCGGAGTTGGGAGAGAGACGATAAAGAAAACAGAAAATGTTCCAACATGAATAATAAAAGCCACAGCAGCTTTAAAGTTAAATCCGGTGATCTTGCTTACCTTCAGGTTCTGGAAGGCTTCCAGGGTCCGGATGGCCGTGTCAGTGAGTTTGACGTGGTAAAGACTTTGACTCGGGTTGTTTTTGTTAATTTTTCCACAGGAGAGCCCATACCGATGCTCCTGTCTCAGCGCTGCCATTTCTACAACTGAAGCCGATTGGTGACATTCTGCCCGGAACGTCACGGAGAAGAAGGCGTGGGGGCGGAGCTAACACACGTACACTCACACCCCCAAGCACCAGCGCACACGCATTCTTGAAATATTCAAGTCAATATGTGTGCAAAGCTTTTCTTTCTTTTTGTTGCTTTTTTTTTTGTTTGTTTTTACTTTCGTTTCTCTGGTCAGTATCTTTGGCCATCATTGCCACTCCGGTTGATTGAAGTTTTTTTCTTTGATGTATTTTGGCCCATGGGTCAGATCCAAGCCTTGCTCCTTTGGATTTAGGTAAATACACTTTGAATTTTCTCCCTACAGACACAGAGACACGCGTACAATACATTCATACAAGGAAGTAAATGCATTCGTAAACACGACTCAAAAAACAAATGTCATTTCACTCAGGACGTTTATGCTGTTCAATCATTTTTATTTATAACTTTTCTATTATTGTAAAAGGTTTATTATATCAACATCATACCATTAGTTCTAGATATGTAACATATTGTCTTACTGTAACTACCAACAATGCTGCTTGGTATGTTGCAAATACCACATGCAGGCTCCCATAAAACATTTAAGAAAGGCTGTAAAGGTCCACCTAACTCAACCGACAGAACAATACATGTTGGGATCAAGTGAAAGAGAGAAAATAATTTTGGTACAATTTTCTTTGAAAAACTAAAAGTGTTTTTTAACAAACTGAAAAAGATCACAAACTTTAAAAAAAAAATTTAAAGGATCTAATCAGTGAAAAATATTCAACCTCCATTTGTCTTCTTCATGGGCCTGGGAAACCTTTGTGGTCCTAATTCAAAAGTCTTCTGTTTTGTTTTTTACCACTAGAGCAAAGGGTTAATCTATCTCCTAGTGTTTTTTAAAGAAACTGTTTTTAGTTTTTATTATTATTATTATTATTATTATTATTATTATTATTATTATTATTATTATTGCTGTTGTTCTTCTTCTGTTCACTTTAAGTACTTTATATTTGAACTGGAGACCATAATTTTCAATTCAGACACATTAAAAACTAAAATATAAATTTGTGTCAATGGAAAGCTACAAAGCTAAATCTTACTTCCACTGTTAGTTGCTAAGAGGCTAAAATGTTACTAGACATATGGTTAAAGTGATAAAGGTTTCTTCAATTCTATGTAAGCTTATTTTTACTCAACAACTACTCCCTTTTATAGTTCAACATAAGAGCCTCAAATGCAGAGTTAAGCTTAAAACTCTAATCTTACCTCAGGGCTTTCGAAGTAATATCTGAATGTTATTTTACCAGACAATCTCATATCGACAATAACTAGATAAAGACAATACATGCCCAGAAATCACATTAAAATGAGCCCATTTTATTTTTCATAGTAGTGTGAAGTAATCTTTATAAAATAATTTTATATAAGTTGAGATAGCTATAGCAACCATGGATATTAAAAGAGGATGCTGAAAAATGCAAATACTGAACAGATTAATTCAATACTTCTGTGTGGACACATAAAAACAAGAAGAAACAACAAAAGTGTAGGAATAAAAGCATTTATTTATTTATTTATTTATTTTTTGAAAAATAATCCTTAAAGGTTTTGAATACAAAACCTTCAAAACAAAATGAAAAAACCCAATATTGACACATGCAAAACATCTGCCTGTCAGAGAAATTAAATGCCAGAAATGGATTTTGGATTAATTTAATCCCGATGGATAACATCCTTTGATGTGGATTAAAGAATGAGTCAGAGAGGCAGTGTTTATTTATGAAATGTAGAAATATAAAGTGATATTGAAGTCACAGTGATCAACAAACCTGTGTTTGAAAGCAATGTCAAAAACATTTCATTCACCATTGTTGCCACATTCGATTTATCAAGCATCATAGTGTTTGTCAAATAGAAATAGAAATTCATTTGATGTCTCAAAATGTGAAAGTTCTAATACAGTAATGCGTTAATAATAATTAGCAACTGTTTTTCTTATTACTTGTCCTTTTGCACCATTATTATTATGGTGCAAAATAATAACCCTTTTAGGGTTCTAATTTTAGGTACTAATATCTGGATCACTTGATGTCATCATAGATGTCCAAGTGGCTGAAATATTTATTGACAGGTAGAATTTCAATGCTCTGCTCCTGAAATGCTCTAGTCTGCCAAGTATTACACCCAAATTGTGCTTTAAGATCGTAATATTCCATACTGACAGTGTGCTGATGATTTCACTTTGATATAGGGACATGACCATTTTTTTTACCCATTGTGCAGTTTACAAACTGCACAAAAATAAATACTTTAATACTATTTGTGATAGACTTCTATTTATAACTGCACTATGCTGCCATGAAAAATAAAATATAATTTTCACTGTATGTAAACTTGAGTTTTCAGCTCCAGTGGGTTTTGAATGATGCCACTGTTTAAAAAGCTAAACCCCAAAACATCTTAAAAGGTTCAGCTTTGTTAAATATTTGCACACAGCTTTGATAAGCATTGTATTCCTAAGAAAAAAAGAACTTTTCTCTCTGTGAGACCATGTTTATATGTTAGGCAAAAAAAAAAAAAATGCATTGATTCTGAAAAGTTTGAACATGGCACTTTTTACATAATCAATAATCTATGATGTACCCCTTACTTTCTGCTGGCTGTTGGTTGCCTTAATTTGGATTTTGAGAATAAATACTTTCTAATTTAACTCAATGTAACCAAATTGGGTGCTTCTTTCTTTGAAAATTAAACATAACATCACTAAATTGCCACAATATTACACATGTGTTGGGCAGAACGACAGTGAAGTCATTAAGAAGCTTAGAGGCGTTCTGTCAGATTAGGTTTTTTCTCCTTCTAATCCTGTAGATTACCACTGCACAGCCTGCTGGCTGTGAGTCCTTCGTTGCGTTGTGCAGATTCTTTACAGTAATATATATTTATTTTTTTGTAGCCACCATATCGCTGAATTAAGTTGACCAAGATGGATGCAAGCTGTTGAAGAGAGGTCAAAGGGAGGCGGAATTGCAGATTTTGAAGGTGGGACAAAGCTTTATAAACATAATGTTTTACTGGGTAAAGCAGGAATGCATTCTGAGGTGGATTATCCAAAACACAACATGGATTCCTAAATGTTTTTATGGAGATATATATTTTTTTGTCTAAACAAACAATAGGTGCTGGTGGGAGAAACCAATCTACACCTCAGTGGGTCATCGACTGAGCAAATAGGATCATCTCTTCTTGGGACTAATGCAGATGGTCTCCATTGCTCACTGAAATGGAGACAGAGTCATGTTGTGAAGAGCAGAGGGATGGTGTGTTGGATCCCACAGAGCCTGAGATCGCGGAACACATTTCTGAACCTGCGGAGTGCGATCTTCTGAACAAACTGCCTTGTGGGCCTCCAGAACAAGGTGAAGAACTATCTCGGAAAGACACATCTGAAATCGAGAACCATGCAGTAGAGAGTAAAGACACAGAGATAAAACGCTTATCCAACTGTGAGCAAGAGAGAGAACAAGCAGAATGCAAGGTAGAGAAAAAGCTGAAGAAAACAAACAGCTGGAAGATGGTCCGGTTTCAAGACCCCTCGACAGAAGAGGATGTTGTGGAGAGGGACAGCTCAGCCGAGATTCTCTTTCCAGAATATGCTGTGGAAGAATGGACATGTGCTCAGTTTGAGGAGCTCTTCGCAGCAGAGGACTGGGAGAACATCACAGGTAAGAACACATGAAATCAATCATCTAAACTCCTAATATAGGAAAGTAGAGTAAGTTTTAAACATCAAACTGTTAAACCAACTGCAATAACTGGAAGTCCTTGTGGATAGTTTCCTATAAATACAGAGTCTTAGATTTGTACTTTACTCTGCTTTTATGCAGAGGACCGGCTGTTGAGGAAAAAAATTCTGGAATCAGGAGACGAACAGGTCCCGCGCGCCACCTGGGGTCAAGAGGTCACTGTGAAGATGCAGGGTGTTCTTGAGGACCGGACTGTGGTGGAGAAGGACTGCAAACTTGTCTTTGTTATCGGAGAGGGAGATGTAATACAGGTGATACTCCAGTGGTTTTCTTGAAAGACCCTATTCTGTGTGTGTGTTTGTATCGTCTCGAAAAAGTCAACAGAGCTGTATAGTCATGGTCTCACAGCACAGGCTTAATTATATAGGATGAGGAATGATTGTAATTCTTTATTAAATCTAGAAATAACAAAAGGGTTATTCAGACTGACAGGTAATCAAAGTGTGAGCTGCTTTCTAAACACTGATGCAATACATTTTCCAATAAGTTGCTGTTGGGCATGAATCCTCATTACTCAAATTTTGTTCACTTGGATTTTTTATTTTGTCAAAATTAAATCTATTAGTCAAACTTAGCATCTTTTTATGTTTCAGTTAAACAGTGAAAAGAATCAAAAGGGTGGTGCGACTATAGCTAGATTCTTCAACTTTAGAAAGATGGGGGCTTTTTATTCATCTCCTCAAACGTTTGGGTCAGATGTTGAGGATTTCAAAATTCAACAATATGAAGATGTCAAAATTTCTGATATAGTGTCCGCTTTTCAATAAATTCATTTTAAAGGTTCAAATCAAATCTACACCAAATATTTTGACAATATTCTGACTTGTAATATAAAATGCAAAATTAATTTAAAAAACCAAAGGCACTTCTTTGGCATGTTTATAAGCCTAAAATCATATAACCATGTCTTCATCTGTTCCCTTACTTGTGTAAATATCTACAGGTTCATGAATGGATTAAGATGTTAAAAGAAGATGAAGAAACACCATACAACAATTTTCAAGGCAGAAATGGACTCTGTTTGGACTAACTCCTTTTGAGATTTTCAAACATTTTAGAAGGGAAAAGAAATATAAATATTGTTATGTACTCATGTCAACCTTGAAAATAGGGAAACAGAACACTTTGTGACTTTTTGAGATGGTGTACAACCCCCACTAAAGCTTTCACAAAATATTCAGAGGTAGAAGTTATTTTCTCACCCAGGTTTTAGGGTAATTAATTGCTCATAATTGTACATTGTCTTCTTGCCAAATAAAAGGTAGTCTGGACCAGGGCTTCACAAACTTTGCAGATTCTGACCCATAGAATAACAATGGAAGACTCTGACGACACAGACAATCGGCTGAATGCAAACTTTTCTACCAAGTCAATGAGAAAGAGGGACAATGACGCCATAAACAGTTTCCACACCTACTGCATTACTTCTCTTTAGATGAACCGACTGTTTTCAATTTATAGCAACTCATGACCTCCCACTTGTTCATCTGTGACAGCAGCTCTAATTGTCTGGATCACAAAAAGTCTGGGTTAAAACCTTTTAACTGTCTTGAGGACACTGGTCCCTCCATGGTTCCATTGGACTATTTGTAGGCATTTTCCAGGTGACAGTTGAGGAGTTACACTTCTACAAGCTCACTCATTTAGCTTTGAAATCTGAAAAGGAAAAGATAATATATTAAAATTTGTCAGTTAAATGAAATATGCGATAAAATCAACGTATTTGTCGCATATTTTTGTTTAACGATGCATGTGTTTTTGTTTAACTATGCAATTAGCTGGATGTGAAACAAGCCACAGAAGTGTTCTAAGTAATGTGTTTCTTGACACCTGTAGGCTCTAGAGGAGTGTATCATGTCCATGCAGAAGGGGGAGATCACATTACTGCTGGCAGATTCCCAGTATGCCTATGGACTTCTGGGAAGGTAAGGATTTTCCAATTGCTGCTGTTTATTGTAATCTTGGAAATTAGAAAATATACTCAGAACAGGTTCAACAGGACTTATTCTCTTATCTTTACTTTGACAACAATGACATCAAAATGCCTTTTTTAGCCTCTTGAACCTGTTGCTGTGGGGGCAGTCTGTGCATCGTGGGTTAGCGGGGTTAATGGACCATAAAGAGGAGCAGATGGCTTTGTCTGAACACCATTCAGGAACAACCTATCCGTGGTTTGTCTATAACCTCCTAACCTATTGGGTAACCCTGCTCATATTACAGCCAATAGCTTGGGTTTATAACCTTTCCACCAGTGAAGAGCCAGTATAAACAGAGAAACTACTTAGTAACTGCTGCCTAAAACCTGTTCTTTACAGTTCAGCTGTTTGCTCAAGATAAAGTGAACAGGCAAAAGTGAGTAATGCTGTTCATATCTAACAAAAGGCAAATCAGTAAATATATCATATTTTGTCACATTGCATAAACACTTCATAAAACCACCTAACGATCAAATCTGATGATTTATTTAGTAGACGGTGCTTATACAGAGATAATTGACAGTAATATGTAGTCAGGCTGTGATGCAATTTTATTAAAAAGGCAATATCATCAACTGTCATTAGAGCCAATTATGAATTAATAGATTAGAGCACACAATGTTGATCCAAATATGCTTTTCAGGGAAGTAAACTGTGATCATTATAGTTTGAGAAACCCATAAAATAAAATATTTTCCAGCATTTTTCTACAGACAGAACACTCATCAGGAGAAAATCTGCATTATCTCCCATTTATTTGCTGAATACTGTCATGTGGCAATAAAAGCGAGAAAAGGGGCAGAATTCATTGCTAGATTTATGACCCACACCTACCTTTACAGCTAAGGAGAAAATATAGACCATTATCATCAATAAATAAATAAATAAATCTAACATTCAAACATTTTGCTTGTTTTTTTTTCTCTCTTTTATAAAACATTTATTTTTATTTTTTTAAATTTTTTATCTGTTTTAAGTGCTGCACATTAGCCAGTGTTTGCATAGCGAGCACTCTGCAAAGAACACAACCTGTGAGAAGTCGAGAATCTCTTTCCATGTCGTGTGTGGAGCAGGAGGCAGCAGGAGGCTGGTTAATGATTGTTTTGATGCCACTGATTAGGGTTGTGTGCTGTGCAGTCAAACCTTATTTGAACCACAAGGTAGAAAATCAGAGCTTCGTGTCTGCTTTTCCAATATGATTCATTTAACTGATGTGCGTTACCTTAAACTGTTTTTTCTCGGGTCAATGAATATGAAGTGTTTTAGTTAAAAATATTGTCAGTTTCTCTGATGTGAGTTGAGCCACATCTTTTATTCAGATCTCTTTTAGTCTTTGTTGCTCTTAGTTCTTGTAGAGAAACTGAACAGTTCATTAAGTATTTGATAATAAGAGATGCAAAAAATAAAATAAAATAAAATACAAGCGGCAACATATGTCATGTTTGAATGCTGATTGAGTGACCTCAGCATGCCTGTACAATAATGTGACAGACAGGGAGACAATGGGGGGAATCTCATTAGCCTCTTTCTGTTCTCTGGCATATGCACTGATTGAACTCTGTCAATCCTCTGCTGCAAACAGAGCTGTTGAGAGAACATCAGGGAGCGCAAAGCTGGTCAGCCAGTATGATTCACACAGTCTGTGTTTTGTTCGCAGCACTGTCGAGAATACACACACCCCTAAAGATGGTGGGAGCATTAACTTGATTGTTACAACAAAGAATGAACTTAGAGGCACTTATGTTTATCTTGATAGATAGTTGAACACTCAGTGAGTTTACCATGTTGCCCCCATTTAAGAAGCTCAGGAGAATCTCCAAACATATTTATATCACTTGAAAATTTTTACATTTACAATCACAATAATCCATGTATTTTACCAATATTTTATTCAACAGAGTGAGGCAACTTAGTATAAATTTATGAAGCACGTTTGTTTGCACGGAACAGAAATCTTATCAGTGTGACATACAGTTGTATTGAACCCTCAGTTGTGTCTTTGTAGATTCTGGTCCTCTCATTAATCTTTTGGAAGTATGTCTCAAATAGCTTTGGAGACCTAGAAAGAATATCTCTGCTCTGTTGCTGCTTCTGCGCTGTAAAACAGCTCAATAAGACTCTATTGAGGGCGTATATGAATGCCTCCTCAGACCAAAGCCTCTTGTTCCACAGTTTGGTTTTGTCACACATGGCATGTGGTAAACTTTTACCCCTTTTGTTCAACAATAACTCTCTTATTACCACTTAAGTCTTTTGAAGCCTCTAACGGTTTTTCTTCACAGATTCTCTTGCATTTGGCTTTAAGATTACATTTTGGTGATATCAGAATAAAACATTTTCTACATGTTTGCTTCTCGCAATGTGAAAAGCATTGCCATAGGCTCAATCTTTTCACCCTAAATTAATTGTTAAATAAAGTTCTCAATGGCATATGCCCAATAATATTGGGCATATGCCCAATGAGATTGGGCATATGCCCAATGAGATTGGGCATATGCCCAATGAGGTAGTCTACATTTGACTACCTCATGACGTACATTTTGAAACACAAAATGCCCACCTCCCAAGAGCACAATTTCTCAAAACCTTGCATGTTCTGCATTCAAATACTGACTGTTGTTCATTTCCTAAACCTGTAATTCAAACTACCTTTCAGTCCATGGCTCCTAAGGACAACTGGAAACGGTATAATAAAGGAGAATTGCAATGATATTTACCAAAGGTAGAGTGTTGTGTCTTTAAGAAGAGAAAGAACTTCTTAAAGACACAGAGGCAATTTCAAATTTGAGGTCAGTTGTCAAATTGTAAAGCCACGTTTGATACATACCCCATTTGCATAACAACAGAAGGTAACTGTTACTAGCTTGTGCTATAAAATGGCACTGTGTGCCTGGAAAATATAACACCGCCACTTTAAAACTCTTATTTCACAAAGATTTAGGGTAATCTCAAAAGTTCAAATTTCCGACAACAATTTTCAAGTTTATATTTCCTTTTAATCTGTCTTTACCCTGTATAGTTTCTGCAATAGATATGGACTGGAGAAACAATGGCCACAGGAAACTTTACTCAGTCTTGCTTTTTGCAGTGAAAACATGGCTATAGAGTTACCTTGAACTAACTGATTATTGCAAGACACCTTTGTGGGGAGGTGGCCTGTGTTGACTCTCTTGAAGTGGTTTATAGGTGTGAGGTCAGTTAACCAGAATGACATTTGTATGACAGAAAAATCCACAAGTTCCTTGCAACACAAGGGAAGCACACTTCCACACAAAAGAAGGGCTTGATCGCAAATTTTATTTTACAGGTATTGTGAAAACAAGTAAATGTTTCAGAGCTTCTTAGTCTATATCAATGTTCAGGAGTAACAGGAAGTTATTTTCACATACAGATAAGTGTTCAGGTTTAAGAGGTTGTATCAGATGCAGGATTCTGATATGCCTCTTGACTTCAAGAGGCATATTGAAATCAAGGAAGAGTTAAGCAACTTTTGTTGACATGGAAGATGTCAATGACGCATGACATTTTGGGTTCGTGTGTCTATTTTCTGCTGTTCTTTACAGCACCGCAATTTGCTGCTTTAACAAAACATGTTTACAAAGAAAGTTTTAAACATTTTCCAAACAGTTCCTCTGTATCTAAGGTAGAGAAACACCTACCTTAGATACAGATAGTACTGTTGCAATTTTCAGCCTAAATTGGAGAAAGGCTTAGAATTAAAATGGTTTAGATTCCAACCAACAATCCAGACCCTTGCAAAGTTTATAGTCAAGATCACTATTACAAATGACAGAAGCCACCTCATCATGCACAAAAGCTTCTGTGTTACTTTCCAGAGCTCTGGATTCAAAATGTAGAAAACTCACAGATGTTTGGTTAACTTAAACTTGAATAGGTTATCATAATCTATTGGTTTAGGTATCAAATTTGTTTTTAATAGCAGTACAACAATTTTGAGGCTGTTTTCAAATCTTCTGATTTTTGTAAAGCTTTGTCCTGCTTGTAACTATTCCAGTTTTCTGCCAAAACAATCAGATACCTTATAAATCCAACATGTTTCATGATAAACAGAAGTTAAAAGTTCAAAATAATCAGATCAAGTTTCCCTTACTCCCAGTCACCCACCCTCTACTTCCTAGTTTTTGTTATAAAATAAAAGTAAAAGGTTCTACATTTGACTACCTCATGACGTACACTTAGCCAGTTATAATGAGACACATTTGCAGAAACAGGACATTGTGAAATCAAAACTAGAGATACATGGAGATTGGAATCTGATAATTTTAGCTCGACTTGCCCTTAACTAAAAACTAAACTCAACATCTAATCTAGCTTCTTTGGGTGGCATGAAAATAAAATAACTCAGAGTTTTTCTGTTTGGGACCACCTGCTCACAGGTCCAGGGCTAATAAAGACTCCAGGTGGTTTCTTAGTGTATCTCAACTTCTGATTGCCAGATCTGCTTGGTTTCAACTGATGTGTCTCATCATTATGGGCTATGTGTTTGTAATTCACCATGACATTGAGGGGAATTATGATCATGTTTTTTTTCCCTGAAAAAATGGATAAGTGCACCCTGATTAGCTTTATGCTAGGTGTAATAAAGGTTCACTCTTCCTCCTTCTTGCAAACTAATCTCCCTTCTTATCATCCCGTGTAACATGACACAGTGAAACACTAGCACTTCTGCTTTTCATTACAATAGGCACTTACAATTACACAGGTGGAATGACTCACTCGCCAGACAGTTGCACTGGCCTCTGTCAATTTTATTAGTTTTTATGTGCAGTCTCTCCTCCCCTGGGTCCATGTGCGTAAGCATGCTGTCCTCGTCAAGAAGGAGGATGTCCTCTGATCACTCTGTGACTCACTCTGCAGAGCCACCTGGCTAAAATGAATAATGTGACCTTTGTGACGCTCTCCTGTGAAAAGCACCATATGAAAATTGA